CAGGATGAAAGATGAACAAGTTTACATGAGAGAATCGATACTACAACATTTGGGAAAGGTAGTAGAGTTTTTACACTAGACAAAAGATGTCTTTCTAAGGAGAATCTATGGCTAAAAAGGTGCAGAGTCTGGACAAAGCGCAGCTTTCTGGGTATTTGCTTGACTGAGAGGCAAGTTGTATATTTGTTTCTTTGATTGATTGAGCGTCTTTGTCTCTGGGCCCTCTTCCTCCTTTTATAGACGAATTAGTCTGACTGCCTGTAGCTTTGTTCTTGCTCGAAAGCAACTGAAGGGTAGTGACTCATTAGTATTTTACCATTTTTGCCATTCAGAAAGCGCTTTTGGGCTGGGAGTAGGTTGATTTCCATTAGTTGTTACTTCCCTTGTAAGCAACTAGCCTTTACATTAATGGGGGAGCGCCAATTAGTCTTGAGATGGACGGTCTGAACTTGGTGCTGGGCTTTGAGCAAGCCTCATTTCTTTAGTCTTTTTGGGCCCTCCTTCCTTTCGGCCCAAAGTTCAAATGTTAACCCAAACAAAAGTATTATTGTTATGGATGGAATTGGGATGTTGATGAACCCAATTCTATAAAGACCTGGACTCTTGAGGGAGAATCCGATGATGAAGAGACGGGTATGAACGTTGACGGAGAAGCCTATTGCACTAACAAAGAGGATGGAGCTGTCTTGGAGATTGATTCCGATAATGAAACAGCTGCACCTGCTCTACAGGATGATGAAATTGATCCATTAGACGCTTTTATGAATTCTACGGTGCGGCCTAAAGTGGAGAAGGTGCCCAATGCTGATGAACATTCAATAGTTTCTGTTGAAAATGGTTCAAATAAATCTTTAGGCAGAATAATTCCTGGGGAGGATTCGTACTCGGATTATGGGGACATTGGGAATAATGACAATCCCTTAGAAGACGAAGACGATGATGAGTTCACAAAAAGGGTGACAAACGAAAAAGTGGAGAAGCTTTCTCTAGCAGACCACTCAAAGATAGACTATGAACCATTCCGAAAAAAATTCTACATTGAGGAGAAGGAGATAGATCTAAAAAATGACCCCAGAAGATGTGGGTGCATATCGAAAACAGTTGGAAATGAAGATACATGATACTGGACTTACAAACAAAATCTTGGAAATGATAAAGAAGCTCGACTATGAAAAGCCAATGCCAATTCAGGCTCAGGCATTGCGTATAATTATGAAAGGTCGAGACTGCATTGGCATTGCAAAAACTGGCTCAGGCAAAGCCCTTGCATATGGATTTTATTGTTTGAATAGCTATGAATTTGTTTGGTCTTGCTTTGCACAATTTTCAATCCACTTTTGATCTATTTTTTTCCTTCTTTTGTTTGTCATTTCCCCTGGTGCGAGGGGCATTATGTTCATATGCTCGCATGCTCAATATTTTCTTTGTCATTACGAAGCTGTGCAAGAGATGCGATCATGGTACGAGTCTTCAGTTTAACGAGTGTTTTAGAATCTTCTAGTCCATGTTGTTTTTTTCTTGTTCATGAGTTGTAGGACCAGTGAATTCTTTCATTTGGGTTCTTTCCTTGGTGCTTACCCAGGTTTTGTTTGGGAATTGCTGGAGCCGATCAGCTGCCCTCCAAAATGGATTTGCTTTTGTGGCGTTGTTCGCTATAACGGGTTACTGAGTTCTGCAGAGATAACTAACCCTTTACAATTTGCTTTAGTTTTGCTGCTTTCGACTCTGTTCACTTTTTGATTGCCGTGATCATTTTATTTGTTGCAAATGCGTTTTATGATCTAAATTATGAATAGCAGGCTTTGGTTTTGCTTTCTAGTTAAGATTTTTAGTTTTGGCTTGTTCACGTTCTTTTGCTTCTCATTAGCTGATTTAAGTTGTCCTCTTTCTTGTGGAGATAATCTTCTAATGTAGACAGTAGTTAACCAACACAGTGATGATATATTGATGTCTTTTGTTCGTTTCAGCTTCAGCTATCAACAAAACATAAGCCAATCGGAATGATTCCTTGCCAAAGGTCAGAAAATCCCCGCTTCATTAAGTATGCTGTCAGTAGATTTTTATAATGAATAAAAAATAAAGAACAATCAAGAGGCTAAAAATTATAATATGATTGGAAGGAGAAGTTCAATATATATCGTAATGGATTCTCTGATTGATTCTTACACATAACATCTCTCTCTTACAAACTGATATAGCATTGATGATGATGACGATGACGATGGTGATGTTGAACGTGGTGCGATTCTTCAGTTTGAAGGCATGTATGTGCTTTAGAATCAAGAGATGTCAACGTGGTGCGATTCTTCCGTTTGAAGGGATGTGTGTGCTTTTACAATCTTCTGGTCGATGTTTTGTCTTTCATTTTTTTTTTTCTTTTTTTCTTTGTTTTGTTCCCTGAGTTGTGGGACCTGTGAATTCATTCATTTGGGTTCTTTCCTTGTTGTCCAGGTTTTGTTTGGGATTTGGTGGAGCCGATGAGCTGCGTTATAAAAGAATTTGCTTTTGTTGGAGTTGTTAGCAATAACGGGTTACTGAGTTCCTTTAGAGATAACTAACCCTTCGCACTTTGCTTTAGTTTTGCTACTTTTGACTTTTTCACTTTTTGATTATCGGGTCATTTTATTTGTTGCGAATAGGTTTTATGATCTAAATTTTAGGAAATTTGTTAGTATGTTCGGAATATGGGTACATACGCCATATATTTAAATTGTAGGATCTGCTTTTGCTTTCTAGGAAGGAGACCGGTGGCTTTGTGTGTTCCCCTTCATTCAATTTTACCAGCCTAATCTTACACTCTTTTCTTTGTATAAAATTAGTAGTATTTTTTAATTCATTTTTAATATATAAGTATATATATTTCTTAATAGTAAGTGACTCAGATTGATAAAGGTTGAAAACACAATGATCATTTTGACTAAATAAAAAACATAGTAATTAAAATAGATTTTAAACATACACGGTGACCAAAAAGGTTTTAGCCTATAAAAAGTGTTCTGAGCCCAATTTCTCTACTTGTAGTGTAGTAAAAAAATAAAGAAATTATAAACGCTCGTTTTAGCATCTCACATATTTGTTTAATTCTTACTGTTGTTTTCATCTGACTTTTTCAATTCGACAATCAGAAATATAGAGTGATGTGTGAAAAGCTAAAAATTATGGGTGAAAATAGAAAATATTACCTACTTTTGAGGAGTAGGCATCAATTGCCTATACCATTGAAGTTAATTTTAACCTTACATGACTCATCAAAATGAGTTTACCTATTCAACTGCCTACACTATTAGAGATGCTCTTACTGAAAAGAAGAAAATCAACCGGCCGTATGCATGATGGGAGGAGCAAAGAACAGTCCACTTATCAAATGTGTTTAAGAAAGCTATACATATATGTATATCATATTTTTCACACATCTACCACCAGTTTCACGTGAAATATAATTTTCTAGTTATTTTTTATTCTATTAAATTCTGGGATGGTGAGCAATTTTTGTATTTTTATATGTTTTTGGAGTATTCAAACTTGACACGTGGACGTTGCAAATCCACTTGAGCTTGACATTGCAAGTAGCTTTTGCTGGAATGGTCCTCATCCTACATTGGAATGAGCCGACAAGTGATTTTCTTCGTGATGTAATTAAGTTGAGTTTCGTTGTCTTGCCTGTTAGATTTCTCTACAGCATTGGCTAGATGTTGTTTTCGCCTTGAGCGATGAGTTATATGATCTCGTCAACCAACGATAAATTTACATGATATCATTTCTCCGTGATGACTTTATGTGGACTCGTTATTTAGCAATGACTTTTTGTAGTCACTGATACAAGTATGTTGCATCTATTGTTTTGTGGTATGGTGGCGCCTCGTTGTTCAACGATGACTTGTGGTCACTAATAGAAATTTGTTTCGTCTATCGTCTTGCGACAGATTAGAATAGTGGTGTGTGTAGTTTTGGTACATGTGATAGCCGTTTAGGAGTTTACTATGGTTCCCTTGTCTGAGAAAATTCACACTAGATCATTTTTCTTGTCATTCGAGCATCGTCCCCAATCAGCACCTTTATTTTAGTTTGAAATGTTATATAAAAAGATAATGATAGAGATACTAAATTTTTAAACCAAATAATATGTCACCAATATGAAATAAACACGTTACTCAACATTTGAGTAATAATCCAATCATCAACATTCACATCAGTTGGTTTACAAAATTTGGTTTAGAAGTTTGTTCTCCCTAGCATTACTCTAAATGAAATATCAACCTATTGTTTCTTGTAAAAAAGAATTTGAAAAAAGAGAAAAGATAAGAGTACAAGTAAACCAAAAAAGGAAAGATAAAGAAAATGAAATGCTGAGATTAAAAAAAAAATCTAATTAATTGTGGAAATCAAAGCTAACAGCTGAAACACCCATAAATTGAATGATATATAGCATTGAAGCCTTACCTGATTTTATACTTTACTTTGGTCTTTTTCTTTTGTGAGAATGATATTCTTACTTGTCTTAGCGGTTGTTCAAATTTCTCATCTCACATCAGAATAAGATTCTTTCGAGTTTCTATAAATTTCTCTCCACTTCTCTCATTTGATTTCATTCTCTCTTTTCATCTTCCCAATCTTGTAACCATTTTGGAGACTTATATTTAAAAAATTGTTTATATTTTGGATTGCAGGTTCTTCCTTGTCAAATCGGGACTTTGGTTTGTTTTTGTTCCTGGATCTTGTTGATTGCCTTGCTTTCGAAATATACACACATACTATGATTTCTTCTCTTGTTCATTTATATAGAGTAGTGTCGGTTATTTTATTTTATTTTTATTGTGTCAATAGTTAGGTGGGGTTCTGAGGAGAAAGGGGAGCCCTGAATTTGGATGAGGAGGGCCACAAGGGTGCTTGATTTCCACTATAGCACTTGCCCTCCTCAAGTGGTGTTAGACAGTTGACTTTGTTTCCTTTTTTTCTTTCCTTTCATATATGCTCTATTAACATAAAATCTCGTTGAATAAATGGGCAGGTTGAATATGACAGCTACAATTGTTTCTACAGTTCTTAACCGTGAGAACTATAAGGATTGGAGTTTTCGGATGAAGACCTATTTTTTGGCCAAAGATCTTTGGGACATCGTCGAAGGCACCGTTAAGAAGCCTCCTGAAGGAGAAGAACATAAGGCTTGGAAGAAGAAGGATGCCAAGGCCTTATATGCAATCCAAAATTCTTGCGGGGATGATAATTATCCATTAATCAAGTACTCAACCACGGCCAGAGAAGCATGGCAAGATTTGTCAGAGGGACTAAAGCGAGATGAAAGACCACAAGATGAAAGTGGTACGTACACACCAGAAAAGTTGATGAGGAATATTTTGTAATTATCTTCACATGTACGCATAGGCATTTGTATATAGAAAGGGAAAAGAAAAAGAAAATTAAGAATTGAATGATAAATCAAAAATTTCATTTTCAGCACACAAGCCAGTTGGTGAAGCATATCCAAAAGAGTCAGCATTGGAAGAAGGTTTGAGTGTCACTGGAGGTATCGTCACAAATTAATACTTTTTGTACATAATTCTATTTAGTAGTAATTAGTGGTAAACGTTTAGGTTCATTATCGGTGATATTAATTAGGAGTGGAATCTCCGTCTTATATTATTATTATTATTATTATTATTTTGTTATATTTTCCATAGAATTTCCCATTTGTTTATTTCAAGAGGAATTGTATTAATTAATTATTTTTATGCAAGTATGGGAAATTTAGCAATTAACAACATGGCATGCAGGACATGATGAGAGCGATGAGAGCGTTGAGACTCTTGAGAGCATCCATAATACTTTCGCCAAATATGTCAAGTCTAATGATTGGGATAATGCGATCAACTTTCTTCGCCAACATCCCCGACTACGAAGTGCAAGATTTCGATGGGATGGTACAGCTCTTCACTACGCAATCAATGAGAGGTGCAGCGTGCGCATTATACAACAGTTGGTGGAGTTAATGGATAACGGACACTTGGAAATAACAGACCGCTTTGGTTACACAGCTCTTAGTGATTTGATAGTTCTGTCTCCAGAAAGCGTTGAAGTAGCTGAATGCATGGTTAAAAAGAACCCCAATTTACTTACCATTTTACCGAGATGGTCTCAGAAGGCTCTAGTTGTGGTGGCCCAAGGGAACGCAAAAGGAGAACGAATGGCTCACTCTCTCTATTCCCTCACTCCATCCGAAAAGATAAATGTTATTGATGCCGCTCAACTTATTTCTGACAGCTTTCGTCTTCAAAGATTTGGTACTTTTACCCGTTCGATTTTTTTTTTTTTTTTTGGTTACAAATTTTGTCTATATACGTACTTACAATGTTTTTTTTTTTCATACTTGTATTATATATAGATATTGCGTGGGATTTAATTCAACGTTACCCAAGATTAGCCATGGCTATAGACCACAACGGGAATATCCCCTTAGTAACATTGGCCAGCAACCGTTTTGCATTCAAAAGCGGAAGGCTGCTCAGTTTATGGGAAAAATTGATCTATTATGGTTGGTACATAATTACTTTATGTTTTCTCATTGTGTTTTTTTTATTTCTAAAGGATAAAGCTTGATATAAGTCCAATTTTGTTAAGTCACTATTAGTATTAGTCCACTTAGGTGAAATTAGTCCAATGTCTAGAATTACACATCATCATATTTTTATTTTCATACCAATAGCAATATACCATTATAAATATGTAAATGCACAAAATCCCTTAATAACTTCAACTCCCCCGTAGGCAAATATGGCATCTCTTCTTCTTCTATATAGTTCCCTTAATAATTTTGTGTTCAACTTTATCATTTGTTTTTTGCGTTCGTATTTTTGTTTCCACAACAAAAAATTTCTTTTACTGTTTTTTCACTTCGCTCACCCACATGTCATCTCCACGTTCTCTCTCTCTCCTCCCTCCCTCTCCCTAAAAAATAAAAACAACTTGACATGACACAACTTGTTAAAATAACGGATTTCCCACGAAAACAAACAAGACAAACACAACTTAACATAAAAATATTGGTTGAGAAGAATATTTAATTGAATTAATGATTGGGCTTGTATTCTCATCTTGATAGGTACACGCATAAAACCTCTTCCTCCCCTCAACAAGGAAAAACATGAAAGTGAGCAGAGTGATCAAGGGCATCTGTCAGACCAAAAAGAGAAGCAAAGGCATCATCGTATTTCCATGAAAGGTAATTTAAATGTCTGCAATCCAATTGGTTTTTGTTAATGACATGCCATTAACATATTTATTCCATATTTCCTAGAGTTTGTATTCATGATATCAGTAGATCGATAGAATAAAGGTCTTCTCTGATTTCAACTTAATTTCACCCATAACCTTCCACTCTTCTCGGTCGAGTAGGAAACAACCTTGATTCACCTTCCTCCTCCCCACTCTTCCACATGCATACACAAAATGGAATTAAACTTCCAAATATAGAAATCCATCCCAAACTTAAAGCTTTAATTTTGGAAAAGCACTTACAGTGGAGGACAGCCCACGACTAGGGGATCATTTTTATCTCTTGGGTCGAGGTCCAATTCCGGAAATCCCGAGATCACCGTTTCTTAGATCTGAAATTGAGGAAATTCGGCTACGAATTTGTAGAAATTATCCCGGGGTTTGAAAAGAAGACGGAAAGAGGATTGTGAAGGTATAATTTGACGGTCGTTGGTGACCCGTGGACGGCAGCGCTGTTTGTCTTTACTGGGTTGTTGTTGCAGCGTGGAAGGGAAGAGTAAGAGAGAGTATACGGGAAGAGGAGAGAGAGAATGGGTTTCTAAAATTGAAAACCTTATTTATTAAGTTCACCTTTAATACTCCTCCCGAATAAAAAGTAACAAAGAGAAAAGGAAAGGAAGGAAAATAAATAAAAATGGAAATGAAAAATAATGGTAATTAAACTTACAGAATAAAGTAAAAATCAACTAATGGTATAAAATAAATAGGGTTAATTTCTATTTACTACCGTGAAGTTTTGTGGTTTTCAATATTTGATACATGAAATTTTTTTTCATTCCAGAGTCAAACCTCAAATCTTAATTTTGGAACAGTTTCATACATCCGTTAAGTTTTTCCGTTAGAAGTTCTGTTAACTGATGATGTGACGTTCACGTAGACAATAACTAAGCGTCACGTATCAATATAAGCCCACTTCAATATTAAAAAATTAAAATAAAAAATAAATTAAAATCCCTACTCCACCCTTCTTCTACCTCCCCCAACCCCCTCCCTTCCTTCTTCCCTCTGCAACCCGCACCCTCTCCCCCAAAACTAGTCTCCCCCAAGCTCACTCCAACCACCAAAACCAGTCTCCCCCAACCTTCATTCTTCCCTCTGCAACCCGCACCCTCTCCCCCAACCCACACCCTCCATTCCTTCTTCCCTCAGATCCAAAACAAAACGTAAACAATTCGAGACCATTCTATTACTTGCTTCCATTGCACCTTAAAAGCAACGCTCCCAATCAAACGAAAACCAACACAACAGTCTAACTTCCAAAACAAAATGCAACAAAGTTCAGAACTTGCGAAACCCAGAGCGAAAACCCAATCACGAAAACTTAAAAATCCCCCTTTTTCAATCCCACTACCTAATTTTTCAGACCATCCAAACAAAAACCCAGAAGCATAAAACAAAGAATCCAAACAGACCTGGAAAACTGATGGACTTTTCAGGCTTCGCTGCATTTTTCTCCATCAAGTCCGTTTCGTTCCACCCGGTAATCAATTTTGATTAGCCCTTAATCAATTTGATTAGCTTCTAATCAAATGTCAAGCAAAACAAAAGAAAAAAGTTAATCAAATCTGTGGAGAAGAAAAAGGGGGAGTTCGGAAATGGAAGAAAGTGGAAGAATGAGGGATCCACAACGGCAGGGAACGGGAACGAGAGAAGGAGAAGTATTTGGATGGAGATGGGAAAATGAAAGGGGACGTACATATAGGAATGGATTTTGGTTTGTTTTGATTTTGACTCGTCGAGGTTGGAGCTCTCGGGGACGTCTTTTACAGAGAGAAGAAGGAAGGTTGGAGCTCTCGGGGTCGCACATGGACTTGTCAGGGTTGGATCTAAGGGAAGAAGGAACGGAGGGTGCGGGTTGGGGGAGACTGGTTTTGGTGATGAAGGAAGGTTGGGGGAGAGGGGATGTGCGGTGGGTGCAGAGGGAGAAGGGAGAATGGAGGGAAGGATGGATGTGCGGTGGGCGCAGAGGAGAACAAGAAGACAGCTTTTTATTTTTTTGTAATTTTCAATTTTTAATACGTGTTGTCCAGCCAGACTAACAGATGTATAAGGCTGTTTTAAAATTAACACTTTAGGTATGATTTTGGAACGATAAAAACTTCATATACCAAATGTTGAAAACCACGAAACTCGAAAATAGTAAACAGAAATTAACCTGAATAAATATATATCTTTAGCTAATGGAAAAATAACTGATAGGACGGAAATGGTGTTAGTGATAAATAAAATGTTTTTGTTTTGATTTTCATCAAATTTGACTTGTAATGCAGGAATGAGTTTATTCCGAAGGCTAGTGGTGAATCTTCGAACACTTTTGGGTGGGCCACAAACACATTCATATTGTTAATTGATTTTTTATTTTTTTTTATGATAGTTTTATTAATGGTCAATATTATTTTTAAATGATTTTTTTTTTTAATGAACCTAGGAATCAATCGTATATATCAGATAAAATTGGTGCATAAGCATGTCCAGCAGTTTCTACCTCTCATGTGTAAAGCAGTGAGTGAAGGATCTATAGATTTTTATAAACAAAGGAAATTGAAGGAAGCACTGTACATGGCAGCAGAACGAGGGCATGTGGAGTATATTACTCATTTTCTTACATCTTCCTCATATCCCATACTTGATTTTCGGTATAAAAACGATCAGAAACTACTCCAAATTGCTGCTGAATCTCGTCACTACAATGTTTATAATATTATATGTGAGTTTCTCCGAAAACCAGATAAAGATGGCCTCAATAAATCCGAATATGGCCAGCATTCCGATAAGCTAAAGAAAGCAATGGAGTATAAAGATAACCTCGACAATAATATACTACATACGGTAGCAAGGATTACCCCATTGTCACAAATAGATCACATTCAAGGTGCAATTTTGCAAATGCAAAGAGAACTACAATGGTTCAAGGTGACTATTTATCTATCTACATATGCTTATATTTATGAAAGTATTTTCCCTATATGTTGTTTATATATATTTTGTGGCTATAATTTTACTCTCATTTTTCCCTACTCCTTCACATATTTTTGTTATTTTATTTATTACTCCTTCACATATTTTTGTTATTTTATTTATTCAATTTCAAAGAAAAAAGAGAATGCAAAGGTTACTTCTCTTTAAAAATAAAAAAAAATCAAAACAAAAAGTTTGTCGACAGGCACACGCATAACAGGAAAAAATTGAAATTAAAAAGGAAAACCTTATTATTTAACTCCGTACTATAATATCATCCTACATGCTTAACTATTGATTTTAGGTTATGTGGTGTTTCAAACGACAAAAGTTCAAGGATTTATACAAAGAGATAAAGATTTCAAAGTCACATCCATAAATAATTTGATCTCCAAAAATGCAGGAGGTGGAGAGCATTGCAGAACCCAAGGATTGCGAATCTGTAAACAAAGATAATAAGACACCACGAAAAGTATTCAAGGAGAATCACAAAGAATTAGGGAAAGAGGCAGAAAACTCAATGAAGGAAACTGCAACTTCTTGTACAGTTGTAGGTGCTCTTATTGTCACCATAATGTTTGCCGCAGCATTCACAGTTCCTGGTGAAAATGATAAGAATGATGAGAAGACAGATCTTCCTATATTCTTAACTAATAAGGTATTCACAACTTTTATAGTTTCAGATGCAATCTCGCTCTTTTCTTCAACAACCTCGGTTATCATGTTTTTGGGCATTCTCACATCACGTTATTCTGAAGATGATTTTCACAAATCCTTGCCCACAAAAATGATAATAGGCCTTTTCACCCTCTTTTTATCTATCGCCACCATGATGATTGTCTTTTCTTGTGGCCTTTACATTATTCTTGACGGGAAATCATCGATTGTCATTCCAAGCATTTTGCTTGCCAGTGTTCCAGTTGCCTCATTCATATGGATGCAATTTCCGTTACTTAAAGATTTATCCATTTCTACTTTTGGACAGGGAGTATTTGATAGGAAGCAGAAAAATTTGTTTTGAATTCCTATGTTATCCTTAGTTGGGTTTGGATTTGCTACTCTTTAAGAAACTTGTACAAAGAAGCCAATATATCCGCGGGCTAATTATGTAGTCGCTTTTTATTTGACAATTATGTATGTACTTTATATTTGACAACTATGTATGCACTTTCTATCCTTAAAGAAAATTTCTACTTCAATTTATATTTTTGAGTTTTCTTTTTTGGTGAATTTCTATTTTGAGTTAGTTACTAAGACAAGCTCTATATAGGCTCTAGTTTTTGGTTGATAAAATGAATTCAAAGCAACCTCAAAAGGAGGAAAAGTACATCAATGTTATCTCAAGCAAAGAAAAACATAACCCAGCAAGTAGAGATTAACAAAACTAAGCCATACATGCATACAAACAGAGGGCAATAAAAGGCACCGCCGAGCCAACTATTAAAATACCAGAGGACATGGTAATTCATCGCGTGACAAGACCAAGATCAAAGACATCATATTTTTGAAAATACACATACATCCAAAAATGTTTCAACTTTGAGAAGACAATTTACGTGTTAGTAGCTTAAAAAGTATTGGAACATGAGAAACCTTTCCACAAATGTTATCAACGTTGACAACGATGAACGCATCATAAAATATAGTGTACCGGCTCATATTTTAGATACGCTGAGAAGCCTCTCCCCACAATTGCCACAGTACATGCATTAACCATCATTCATAATTGGACCTAGGAAGACATTAAAATTCCTTGTTAGAATTCTCTACCAACTTCCAATTTCAATGTCTGCAGACTGCATGCACCACCCAACTAAGCATTCAACCATATATAATACATTAACCAATGCTTAAACACACAAGACATAAACAAAATGGGCAGATTGAAACCGAAACAGAATAAGGGTTTTCTCGGATTTCACCTTAATTTCACCCACAACCTTCCATTCTTCTCGGTTGAGCTTGGAAACACCCCAATCTTCCACATGCATACACAAAATGGAATTAAAATTCCATATAAAGAAATCGATCCCAAAACTTAAAGCTTTGATTTTGGAAAAGTACTTACACTGGAGGACAGCCCACGAGGAGTGGATCATTTTTACCTCTTGGGTCCAGCTCCAATTCCGGCAGGTTTGGTCGGAAATCCCGCGCTCACCGTTTCCTAGATCTGAAATTGAGGAAATTCGACTACGAAATTGTAGAAACTATCTTGGGGTTTGAAAAGAGGACAGAAAGAGGATTGTGAAGGTATAATTTGACGGTCGTTGGTGACCGGTGGGCAGCGGCGCTGTTTGTCTTCACTGGGTTGTTGCAGCGTGAAATGGAAGAGGGAGGGAGGAGAGAAAGTGAGAGAGAATGGTTTTTTTTTCTTCTAAAATTGAAAACCATATGGGAAATTTGAAAAAGTAACAATATTTTAGACCTTGTATTGAATTATAGCCACCATTTTAGTTTTATGATAATTCTAATCAAAACTTGATATAAATGTACTAATATATCCTTAATGACAAAAAATTTTCCATTGCTCTTAAGCATGAAAAAAACAACAATTAATTGAGATCTTGAAGCATACAAGAGGTAGCCTCTTGAATACTACTTAGTACCCCTACTCTCGAAACCCTCCATTTCCTACGCTTTATATATATATACACACACACACACACATGCCTTTTAACAAAAAGGATCCCTATTTTTCAAAAAAGGGTGCACACCTCTTTTTACTTCTCATACATCCCTTGTTAATTTATGTCCGTTAATCTTCTTCAATTCATCCAATCTAACAGTTGAAAACTAAAAAGGTCTGGAAAAGTAAAAAGGAGTGTGTGGATATCACACCCCTTTAAAAAAGAATGAGAACACCATCTTGACTGTTAGATTTGATTTTAAGGAAATTTTGTGATTGAGATTAAATTACAGGCTACAGAATCTCAACTACAGAATTTCATTAAAATCAAATCTAACGGTCAATAGTTGTCCCCATTTAAAAAAAAAAAATAAGGATCCCTCTTGTTAAAAGATTCCATATATATATATAATAGTTATTCAAATGTAACCAGAGAAGGGAAAATAAATTAAAATGGAAATAAAAAATAAAGGTAATTAAACTGACAGCATAAGGTAAAATTCAATTAATTGTATAAAATAAGTACATATTCTTCAGCTAATGGAAAAATAACTGATATGAGGGAAATGGTGTTAGTGGTAAATAAAATGTTTGTTTTGTTTTTCATCAAATTTGACTTGTAATACAGGAATGGGTTTATTCCGAAGATTAGTGGCGAGTCTGCATACACGTTTGGATGGGCCACATACACATTCACATTGTTAATTGATTTTTTTATGATAGTTTTATTAGTAGTCAATATTATTTTTAAATGATTCTGTTTTTTTTTAATGAACATAGAAATCAATCATATATATATCAAATAAAATAGGTGCATGAGCGGGTTCAGCAGTTTCTAGCTCTCATGTGTAAAGCAGTGAGGAAAGAAGATAAGAATTATTATCAACTAATGAAATTGAACGAAGCACTGTGTGTGGCAGCAGAATGAGGGCATGTGGAGTATATTACTCATTTGCTTAGATATTCCCTTAAATAGAGTTAGGAACAAAAAACATCAGAGCCTGTTCCAAATTGAAGCTGAATGTCATCACTACAATGTTTATAATCTTATGGGTTGCTCCAAAAACAAGATAAATATGGCCTCGATCAATTAGTTGAACTAAGGGGAATAGTGGGGAATGCAGATGGCTTTGGCAATAATATGCTACACAGTCACAAATTGATCACATTCAAGGTGCAAGTTTGCAAATGCAAAGAGAACTACAATGGTTTAAGGTGACTATTTATCTATTTATCTATCTATATACACTTATATTCATGAAACATTTTGTCTATATGTAGTTTCTATATATTTTTGTGACTATAATTTTACTCTCATTTTCTCCTACTCCTTCACATATTTTTGTTACTTTATTTATTCAATTTCAAAGAAAAAAAGAATGCATGAATTACTTCTTTTACAGTTGTAGATGTTCTTGTTGTCACCATAATGTTTGCTGCAGCATTCACAGTTCCTGGTGAAAATGAGGAAAAGACAGGTCTTCCTCAGGTATTCACAACTTTTATAGTTTCAGATGCAATCTCGCTCTTTTCTTCAACAACCTTGGTTATCACGTTTTTGGACATTCTCACGTCATGTTATTCTCAAGATGATTTCCACAAATCCCTGCCCACAAAAATGGTAATAGACATTTTCACCCTCTTTTTATCTATTGCAATGATTGTCTTTTCTTATGGCCCTTACATTATTCTTGACAGGAAATCATTGATTGTCAATCCAAGCATTTTGCTTGCCAGTGTTCCAGTTGCCTCGTTCATATGGATGTAATTTCCGTTGCTTGTAGATTTATCCCTTTCTACTTTTGGACGGGGAATATTTGATAGGAAGCTGAAAAATTTGTCTTGAATTGCTATGTTATCTTTAGTTAGGTTTGAATTTGCTACTTTTTAAGAAACTTGTAAAGAGAAGTCAATGTATGTGCTTTCTATTTGGCCAGTTATGTATTCGCTTTCTATTTGACAATGATCCATGTGCATTCCATGCTAAAAGAAAATTCTAACTTCAAATTATATTTTTGAGTTTTCTTTTTTGGTGAATTTCTATTTTGAGTTAGTTACTAAGACAAGGTCTTTATATAGGCTCTATCTTTTTATCGACGAAAAATGTTTGTTCATGTGATATTATTCCCGATATTTATTATTTATTTTATATTTAGAACTTGATAATTACTTGAATTTGAAAGAATTGTATTCTTCACAGTCACAATATGCAAACCCCCAATTCTTTCACCACTCTGAGTTTTAAGGGCTTGAAAATAACCGTACGGGGCGTAGAAGTGAGTGTAACAATGTAAGCTATCAAGTAGTTTTTCTAGTGATAAATTTTTGGCGTTTGCTAAAGGACATGCAACATGTGACACTTTGCTTAGTGGTCTACTTAGGCATGAATATCAGTCTCTCGCTTCACGGGAACATAGATCAAACATATCGTGAATCTACCACATCTGATTTTAAGAGCAATGTGTGTACTTTGTTGCAATAAGTCTTGCTTCTAGAGGGTTAGATCATCTTTGATACTCCAGATCATTACGAGGACTATGTTCACCGTATTGCAAGAAGGGCTGTGCTATAACGTTCATCTCTGAGGAAGATGCTAAGTATGCCCCAGATCTTGTCAAAGCATTGGAGCTCTCTGAGCAATCTGGGACTAGAGCAGGCCCACGGAACTCGTTACAGGGGCAGTGGTTATAAATTTAATGAAGAGGAAAGCTTGGAAAGCAGTAAAGAAAGCACAGGCCAAAGAATATGGTTTTGAGGATGACAAGTCAGATTCTGAAGATGAAGATGATGGTGTCAGAAAAGCAGGGGGTGACATCTCACAGCAGGCCGCCCTTGCACAAATATCAGCCACTGCTGCTGCGTCTAAAGGTAGCAAGGCTTCCGTTCAGATCCCTGTCTCTGCTGGCCAACTACTTCCAAATGGTGGATTACATGTTTCTCTTTCAGGTGTCCTTGGTGGTGTGACTTTACCAGGAACAGCTGTTGTGCCAGGTATCCTTGTTGTACACAAGGGGGCAGCTTGAGGGGCAGCAATTGCAGCTGTCATGAATTTGCAGCATAACCTGGCAAAGATTCAAGCTGATGCAATACCCGAGCACTATGAAGCAGAGTTGGAAATAAATGATATTCCCCAGAATGCCCAATGGAAGGTTACCCAAAAGGAAACTTAGGGCCCTATATCAGAGTTGACTGGAGCTGCCATTACTATCAGGGGTCAATCTTTCCCGCTAGGCAAGGTTCCAGGGCCAGGAGATTGCAAGCTGTACCTGCTTATTGAGGGTTATGGTGAACAATCTGTCAAGAGAGGTAAAGCAGAACTAAAACGCAAGTTGGAAGAAATCATGAATCAAGCATTATCACTTCCCGCCGGCACTCAGCAACGCAGATATCAAGTTATGTGAGTGAGAACTTGATTCCAACTTACATTTTGCATAATTTTATCTGCTTTTGCTGAACTTAATCTGACTCTCAGTTCTTGGTTTATTGTTTCTCAGTCACCTAATGAGTTTTATTTTTTAATTGTTCTAATAAATAGAATATTTTGTCTTTCCATATGTCTATTTATATCCTGCTGATCTTCAATATT